CACACTTCACATTTATTAAGAATGTTATTTTTAATCCCTGATATTAGCCCTAGATGATAAAGCCTTTTTACATAAGATTTACTTATGTGTCCTAATCTAGCATGCCACATATCAAAAGAATCAACATAGAACACAGGCAAGTAAGTAGAAGAAGCATTTCCATTCATTTCAACAATGTTCAGTACAAACAATCCTTGATTACAACAGCCCTTCCCAACAAGAACATTATTTTTTATCATTATGATCTTGTCAGATTCAAATGACACCTTAACCCCAGCTTTCCCTAACAGAGCTATAAAAATCAAATTAGCTCTAACATTAGGCACGACGTACAGAACTTCATTTAGTGCTAAGGTCTTTCCAGACGTGAGTTTTAGGACAACTTTTCCTTTTCTTAGAACTTTCGTGGTTTAGGAATCAACCAGATAAATATGGTCTTCTCCTTCTTCAAAGGAGGTAAACATGTCCTTATTCGCACAGATGTGCTTAGTAGGACCTGAATCTACCATCCACTTCCTCATATCGAAGATCACAACGGCTTGTAAGACAACAACAATAATCTCATCATCATCTCCTTCCACCAAATTTACGTTTGGCTTAGGAGGATTTTTACCTTTATAGTTATTGTTTTTACCAGTGCTTTTCTTACACTGAGCTGCGTGGTGACCTGGCTTTCCACACACAAAGCAATCTCCTTTCTTCTTGAATTTGGGGTTAGAATCACTAGGCTTGTAATCAAAGTTTTTATTTCTAGGTTTAGTGTTATACCTCTTGTCATGCGGCTTTGCTTCTACCAAATTTGCCTTTGTTGCCAACTCCTTTCCTTTAGCTATCTGGATTGCCTTCCAGTTTATGTCCTCAATGATGATGTGCGTGATTAGGTCTGATAGTGAAAGTTGCTTTTGCTTATGCTTCAATTGTTGCTTATAGTCATTCTATGAGTTTGGCACGCAGCTTCTCGATTAGGATCCCAACCACGAACTCATTTGGCAAATTTATCTTCTCAGCTCGGAGCTCTTCCAGTAGCTTATGATATTTATTGATTTGAAGTTTTTTATCCTTCTCTTCATCCATCTCCCATTTGTAAAAGTTCAGAACCATGAACTTTTGCTTTCCAGCATCCTCAGTAGTATACTTCATGATCAGTGACTCTCATATTTTATGTGCCTCCTTGTATACACAGTAGACATCGAACAAGTCATTAGATAAAGTGCTAATGAGTGTATGTCAGCAAACCTTATTGGCATTTGCCCAAGCATTCTTCTGGGCCTGATCAGCATCAGTGGGGGGTTTAGATTGGGTAAGAACAGCAGCAACTCCATGCATGTCAAGGACAATATATACACGTTCCTACCATCGTCTGAAGTACTTTCCATCAAACACATCAATCTTGGAGACATCCGGGAATGGCTTAGGTAGTGGCACTATAGTGTATACACATTAAACATCGAACAAGTCATTAGATAAAGTGCTAATGAGTGTATGTCGACAAACCTTATTGGCATTTGCCCAAGCATTCTTCTGGGCCTAGTTAGCATCAGTGGGGGCTCAAGTTGGGTAAGAGCAGCAGCAACTCCATGCATGTCAAGGACAGTGTACACACGTTCCTGCCACCGTTTGAAGTACTTTCCATCGAACACATCAATCTTGGAGACATCCGGGAATGACTTGGGTAGTGGCACTGTAGTGAAGACAGGGGCATGGGCAACGTTGATAGTAGGGTTAGTGTTCCCAGCAGCAGCATCATTATGGGACTCCATAATAACTCTTAAGATTGTTGGGTAAACTGGAAGTGTATATTAGCTTGGTCCAAGTTGTGCCGGTAGACACTGTCCTTAAGAATTATTCCGCCATTGTAGGTGAACATGAATGCTCCCTAGGATTAAACGAGCCCTTCCTGGAGAAAATAGGGTGTAGAACATCAGAAACTAAAAATATAACCTGGCAACACAGAAACACAAAGAGGGAAGAAGAGAAACACAGAGGAGGAACATATGCTCGAAAGCTCAAGAGTGGGGTGCAAAACACACTATCCTCGACCGCTTTATATAGGCCTCAGGGGACCTAACTGTTGGGCACCACCATAAATATAATTAATCCGTCGGTTTCATACATTACTGCAATAATCTATAATTATACCTTCAATTATGAACGTTAGGTACGTTTAAGAAATAAATTCTAGACATTGCCAGACATTAATCCATGGAAAATGGTTTAAGGATTAATGGAGGATTAATCACAGTTTGAAAAACTTCCAACATTCAATAACCTTCGACCGTTACAAAAAATAAAGGGTCAAAATAGGGATTTTCTGATAAGCTCTCTTAATACCATTTTATAATTTAATTTTGCAAAAGTGTTTTATAAAAAGTGCTTTATTAAGGATTAATGGAGGATTAATCACGGTTTGAAAAACTTCCAACGTTCAGTAACCTTCGGCCGTTACAAAAAATAAATGGTCAAAATAAGGATTTTCTGATAAGCTCTCTTAACACCATTTTATAATTTAATTTTGCAAAATTTTTTTATAAAAAGTGCCCAGTACTGTTCTAATTCACGGGCAGGGGGGAAATCACCAATCACCAATTTTCAACTGTGTTTCCCTTTGGTGGGTCATTGTCGTGTGCGCGAGATCCTCCTTATCCTCTAGGCCCATTCACTAGCCTAATAATGTATGATAGCATTTATACATTTGAGCTCCCTCTCTCTTGGGCAATGTGGGACTTTACTTTTGACACACCCACTTATATACACAACAAAAAGTGTGTCTAGCAACCTTAAATATTTTTTCAGCTACGTCTAATATCTTAAAATACTTCTTTGATTTTTAATATAAGACCTATTTAACTAATTTAATTAGATTAAGGAAGTTAGGTAAGTTAGTTAATTATAAGAAATATGACGTGTTTTTCTTAAAACACCATAATCATCTTCTTTAATATCCTTTCTCCCTCTTTTACTTGATTATATTTGAGGAAGTATCAATAGAGGTAATTTAGAAAAAAACTAAAAATATGAGAAATAGATCTTATATTTAGAACCAAAATCAACTCAATAATTAAGTCCTATATTAAGGACCAGAGGAATATTTTGTAATGTATCTAATACTCTGAAATATTTTTGCAGGTGTATCCAATACCTTAAAATATTTTGTAGTTTATCCAGTACCCAGAAGTATTCTTTTAAATGCGTCCAATACCTTCAAAAATAATGAAAAATAGTACTTTACAGTACTTGATATATACTGATTTAATAGACTTTTTGAAGAGTTAATGACGAAGTTAGAATTGGTTATGAACTAATGCTTTATAGGCACAATTGTTTCTAAAAAATTAATATTTTAAGAGTAAAATTATATCACAAAATATTTTAGAATACTAAATGAATCTGAAAAAAATTTTAGGGTGTTGGACGCCCTACAAAATATTCACGATACTTTGTACCTTAGTCTTTTTCTGTTACGAATCAAAGGTTTTGGTAGATTGAGTGGTCCAAGAATTTCAAGTTATTTTAATTTAAAATAAAATTAAGTTGATGATCTTCTGACTTTCTCAAGGAAAATAATAATCTTGTGACTTATTAATAGCATGAAAACCTCTCTATAAGTGAAAAATTGCGAGTTCAATCATACTTATTACATTGTTAGGGTATACTTTTTTCAATCAATAAAATAAAATTTTATTGATAATAAATATTCTAGAATTTTTAAAAGAATAATTCTAACAAAATTTTAAACTGAGGTAAATTTAAGATTTAAAAATACAAGAGATATATTTCAACTTAATGAAATTAGAATTCCTTATGTCTGTATTCTTGCATCTATTTTGTTGGCAAGAAAGGATTAAATTACAAATTTATCTGAAAAGTTTATACTTATAAATGTCGGATATAAAGGTTTCTTTTAGTTGGATATAAAGGTTTCTTTTAGATTCCATATCATATCAAAAGTTTTCAAATCGTAATAATGGTGCCCAACCATTATACAGATTAAATTTAACTTAGTTGATCAAATATGCTGATTTTTTTGGTAACAAAATATGCTGATTTGGTGGGTTTATGTGCCATCCACATCATTTTTTGTTAAGGTGCAAATTTACCTGATAAGTTTTCAGTCAAAACACCAGGCATCTATAAGTTTATTTTGGCTTCAAATATGGTATTACGAATTTCTAAATCATAGCCGTGATGCCTCAAATGTTGTGTATGTTAAGTTTGGCTATTAGTTAACCAAATATATTAAGCTGGCAAAGTGAACGGTGAAGAAGCAACAAATGGAGTAGGAGCCCACATTGAAGAAGATTCGATTACTCTATGTGGGACACATTAAGGGAGATTGTCAAGAATAAGGCTATTGGCAATCCTTCGCCGCCGTACTCCAAGAATACCGAGATAAGTGCGTACCTCTTCGATTTTCTCTTCACCACACAAGATGCTTTCACCTCTTCAATTTTCTCCAATTTTTCATGCGAGATACATTTCGTTTTTTTTTTTTAATTTTTTTTTCCTTCTTCATAAATTTGACTTGGATAAAAAAAAATAAAAATAAATAACACGTGCATACACCAACTCATCATATTTGGTAATTAAAGGTTAAACTTAACCTAAATCAGGTTAGGATGACATTATTAGGCAAATCTACACTTTAAACTAATAATATAGATAGACATACCAATTCAACATATTTAATCAACTAATAGTTAAACTTCAAACTTCAAGACGTTTTAAATACTCAACATTTCTAGGTAAAAAATTTCTATACCAATTTTATACCTTAACCCAGGGGAAAAGTACTCGGTCTACCGTGGCTAACGAAAAAAGTATAATTCTCAATCTTTTATAATTAAATTATTTGATAAAAGCATAATAATCGCACATCTTTTATGTGGCATAGACAAAATATAAGAAATCATAGCCAAACAGCTTTTCAAAAGTATCATATCATATAAATGGACATTTTGTACCTATCAATTTAATGTTTCAGAATTAATATGAGCCAAGTATAATAAAACAACAATTCGTTGGGAAAAAAATAAAAAAATAATTATTACATTCAGGAATTTCTTATGCCTTGCTACAATTACTGCAAATGGTGGCTACTGCATTGCTCTTCTAATTAACTTAATAATCATGATACATGATTACTCAAATCCAAATGAAATATATCAGGTGAATAAACGATGTTACAATGAAAAATATAATTTTCCCTGTCCTAACCATTCTTCTTTCTCACCAATCTCACTGCTCAAAACAAGCTAATATCTCCTTTTCCTAACTTGAAAGCTCGTTGATCTGATAACGTCATCATCAGCTTTTAGAGTGTCATCAAGAACTTCTATGGATTCTGGCTTCGTAAAGTAGGTAAATAGAAGGTAGATGCCATCCAAGTAAGTGTTGGTCTCTCCAGCCTTATTTTTCTTCTTGATACTATATGCTAGTGGAATAACCCCTCTGTTGAAAACCTCCACATACATGCCACCTCCAGCAACAAGCAGCTGCAACGAGAATTTACAATACATTTACCAATCCCATTTCTCTAAATTTATCAGCATATAATACAGTTTGATTCCCGTCTTGACTTAATAATTACTTTCTTCATTCCTTTTTATAAGAAACAATTTACTGAATCACACTGATAAAAAAAGATTGGTTAAAATTAGTTGGAGCCAAGAAAGAGGTAAAAAATGTAACCTTTTCTTTTAAAAAATTTCCTTATTTGTGGAGAGAGAGTGTGTAAGGGAGACAATAAGCAAATTTCTAGATAATAAATGCAATGATAATAATATGAATAACTAAATGGAAGCAAAATGAGAAATTAACCAAAAAAATTGGAGGCAACATCTAGGTGTCTCTTGTAAATAGGAACAAGCCGTACTAAAAATTGTTTCTTATAAAAAGAAACTGAGAGAGTTTTGTAAACTGCGATCAGTGTATTACTTAAATTACTATCATTAATTAAAGCAGACTGCACAGTATCATCCAGAATAAAAGGCATAAAAAATTGCTGTAGATCACAGGTATGAGCATCTGCAGCTGACAGATTAAATGACAATCCGCGACTAATGGATGGTATAATGGATCCTAAGATCATATAGACAGTGCCTAGGGTATTTTGCCCCACTACGGGAAAATGCAGGTTTCCAAAGAAAGCCTGATCATTTAGAATAAATGGCTTGAAGGCTCACTCCTGTTGTCATTCTCAAGACAACATTGTGAGTCTGTTAAATTCCAAAAAATATCCAAACATTAGACCCAAAAGCTGTTTCATGGGAACAAAAATGAAATTGAGACCAAGACAAAGCATTGATTCAGCATTCATTTTATTTCCCTTCACTTGCGAAATATCAAGGATCCATTATCATCAATTACCTCACATCATCATTATCTCTAATCCTTCCACATTGTTAAGAAATTAGTTTCAATTAGAATGTCTAGATATCAAACATGGAAACATATGACGTCAAGGAGAAAAATTAAAGAGATAAATGGCCCATGGGAAGCAAGACATTTAGATGGTTGGACATAATAAGCTTCATCCATCAACACCTTAGTTTCTTTAGGAATGCTTTTGAATTACATTACTGGTCCTTTATTCCTGCATAATGCCAGTTTAAACACAATATTGTCCTCAGACCTTCATTTTTCCAGGTGAGAGGGACATTCCTTCTAGCTATTTCTCTTATGCTAGAAAATGATAATATATTGATTTATTGAGGGAAAATTTATTTTAAAAAAATAAGTAAAGCTGATGATTATCATGACTTCAGTTTTTACAAGGGGGGAAAAAAAGTTGGGAGAATGATGATTCAGGACCTGATTAGAAAATCATGTCAAATAGGGGCTTTTTAGTTGTGAAAAGTTGTAAAAATTAGTAAAGATGGAACCTTAACTAGCGACCAGGTTCTTGTTTGACATTGATTGTCTAATCAAGTCCTGAATTGTCATTCTCCCAATTACTATCTAGTAGCATTCCTCATTTCACATTGGTATGACGTAATTAAAACATATGCATTATGCCTCCCCTAAACTTATAGCACTTGCCACAATACCACACTATGCTACCATTTTGTTAAACTTCAATGTTCAGGACTTGTTTGGAATAACGGTAGAATCCTTCAAAAGCAACTTTTTAATTGTGATTTACAAAATATAAGATAAATATATGAGAAGAATTTTATCTCGAATTACGTGAATAAATGCTTTGGGGAATCCCAGTCGTGATTCCAAATAGGCATTCAAATGATTCGAACAAGGACAAAATGAATTTTAAAAGTCCTCCAATTAAGTGAACGTTATATAGAATGATGGCATGGACTCATTTTATGGCAATGAAGAAAAACTCAAGAGGGGCAGGGTAACGAAGTAGTAAACTATATATATTTTTTTTCCTACCATAAAATTCCTACCTTGTAGGCTATGTTTGAGAGTTTTGATGAGGGCGGAGTGAAGTCATTATTAGAATGGAGTTAGATGAAATGGAGTGAGGAAAATAAGGTATTTTAGACCTCTGCAGTTTCAGAGAAATGAACCATTAAAAAAAAAAAAAAAAAGAGGAAAAACACATTTTTGTGGAGCTCAGATTCAAAAATGAAATGAAATCCATTAAACAAGTTTCTTTCTCCACTAGAAATTGCCACAATGAATTTCTTTAAGAAATACTCCTCCGATCCTAAATGTAAGACCTATTTTGTAGTGTAATATAGGACCAGAGGAGTACCAAAGAACCAATTCTGAAGGAACAAGAAGTGATATCACTCCACTGTTCAGTTACCCTTCTTTCTTGAAAGTTATATGGTAGTTAAGGAAGAGGGGATGGGTCATTATTACTCATATATTTTATTTTTCCAAATCGTTAGTAAGGGTAAAAAGAATAATAAGAATTGAATATTGATTAATTTAATAATTAATTAATAATTGGAAGCCAAATAATTCCAAATGCCCCAATTTCAAAATTCTTGAAGGGGAAAAATTAGACAAAATCTTCAGATACTTGCTCTCAAGTACTCCAATAGAAGCAAAACACATTTTGCAAGATCAAATCTGCTACTATTTTTTTGGGGAAAAAAACTATTTGTTCAATTTCATAGCAAACACTCAAAATCCATATTTCAATTTTTTTCCTTTAAAAATGAAAACAAACTTCAGAATTTTTTCACACATTATAATTTTTTATTATAAAATTTAAAAAACAAATAATTGAGAAAATACATCAAATGAACATAAGTTTGCAAAATTTACAATGAAATATCTTTAAAATTCAAATTATTCAGAAGGCACACCTTATTCTTGGAGCGACTAGATAAAAGGACCCTCATCTATTTGTTACAACCCAGACTTCTTGAAGTGACAAGTAATTTTTTGAATTATCACTACCAAGTTATAACTTTTTTACCAGCCGGCTTCCTAAGTATGAGGTCACTAGCATCCACAAGTTACAATACAGCCTAGGCATTTAAAGGGCCCGTTTGGCAGAGCAGTGGAAATTCCCTATAAGCACGTTTCATGTAAGCTGAGACAAAACTCCTCTCAAATACTTGTCTCGTATTCTGTAAATCACTATGGAAAAGCAGCTTATAAGTAGCAGATGTTCCACGGGTTGAGACTTTTCAGGGTTACTATTATACTAAATTTTGGTTGCCTAACATGCTGCTTTCGAATTACTGTTCATAAGTCCTGGTTTTGCCCCCTAAAAACAAAGACTATGAGCAAAGCAACCTAGAAAGCTCAGTCACAATGCCGATGCACACAAGAATCACCCACTCATATTAGATTATGCAACATCAGTTAGTTACTGTTGATGTCTCCAAAACTTCCTTTGAGGATTATCAGCAACCAATTTCAAATTTGATATGACGCATTTCATCGGAAAGCAAGGCAATAAAACCTAAAGCCCAGCAATAATGACCTTAAAATCCCTTATAACTCCAATAAGCCAAAGTGATAATTAATGGATGAAAACATTTTCGTCCAAACACATCAATAATCATATCAGTCGGAGCTTCAAAATAATATAGATTTTGATATCCTTCATTTCAATTTCACAAACGATCTTTTGATCTATTTTCCCTAAATACACAGGTAGGAAACTTTAAAAATTGTGGGGTGGGCTCGGACAGCATGATTTGAAATTCCTTCTAATCCACCCAACTCCTTTCATTTAGAAGCATGCAACGCTTAAGCAAGCAACACTAGTTTAGATTTTTCCCGCTTTGTTTTACCAATGCATTTCATCAAAACAAACAAGAAAGCATTTAAAGTTCGATATTTTACAGATATCTGGAGAAATAGAATACATTCTTAGATACTCTGCACCACAAGTATACATAAGAGAAAAGGCAATCAACCGCCTTGGTTGACAGAAAATCACTGGTATTCATCGTAAAAGTCACGCAGATGAAGAAGAAATTACAAATTGTTAATGGCATTAAACATGAGAACATATGGTTAAGAATTGATACCTCCTCGTACTTCTGAGTAAGTGCTAGTCGCTCATCCTCGGACATGTCAGGCCTCAAGACAGCCATTGTCTCGTACTGTCTGAGGCCGGGTGGGCATTGTGGTTCCTCCTTCTCCTCCACAGAAGTAAACCCCGTTCCGGCAGAAGTCGGGTCGTCATCCGAACCGAATCCACCTTCGAAGAAGGAACCGGAGAAGTCAAGGGTTTGGGCTTGGATGGAAAATCCAGAATCTATTCTCTTCTGGTAACGGGTTGATCTTGATTTCGTAGAACAAGGTACGAGGCAGTAAGAAAAGCTTAAAATTGGAGAACATGAGAGATTTTTGGGGCAATTTGGCACTTTAAGCTGAAAAGAAGAAGAGATTGGAGTAGATGTGAGTGAAGAGGATGCCATTGAAGCGCTTCTGCTATTCGCCTCCCCCGCGGATAAGGCAAACCCCGCTTTTATATTCTCTCGTCCTCACACGACGTCGTTATGACTTATAACATAATGCATAAAGGATGAAAAGAAACATATATATGTGAATTTATAAGAGATTGATGGGCAAAATTGTCTTTTAGGAGATAACCCCTCCGACTAGCCCGCGCCGTAAACTACCGAATATACCGAACAGTCGTGTTCCGGCTTCGGGTCAAATCTATTTGCGGCCAGCGAAATGGTTTTGATCAGCTAACCTTCTTTCCTTCTGAAGTCCTCTCCCACGCAGCCACAGGTTCGTAGTACAATCCCAACAGGGAATCTCTGCTTTGCGCTCCCCGTATTCTTTTAATTCACTTCCTTGTGTACGTGTGCGTATTATCTCATGAATTATGATGCAGCTTTTGAGCAACATATTGAATTTTATTGATGGAGCTTTCTGTGAGGCTTTTTCTTTCTCGCTGAAGATTTTAGCTTTCCTGTTCTTTTTTAAATAAACATAATATGAATGAGTTTTCTGTGATCCTTTCTGCTTTGGAAATCATTAATAAATCTGCATATGTAGGTCGACGATCTAGTTAATACCCATGGCCTTGAGCTGATTTCTCTTTTCACTGATCTTTGATTTTTTTTTTTTTTTAAAAAGAAGCTTTTCCGTACTTTTCATTTTCAGGTTAGACAGTTTTCTTTTGTCTCTGTATCTTGGAGCAATCAAATACTGAGTCTCGGTTGGCATTCATAAAATTCATTAATGTGCTCGGAGCTGTGAAAGATAGATAACTTTTGCTTCTAACTATTACTGGTGAGTATGTGATATTTGCGGGTCATCAACATTTTCCTTTTACCAAGAAATAACGAGTTTGCAAAGTCTAATTATATAGTTGTTTTGCGTTTCTCCTTTGAGTCTGATGACATCTATTGGACTAGGCTATCTTGCTTGAGTTGTTGGTTTCATATGATGAGCAGTCCAAACGTTCTTTATGTTCTTGCATTCCTCTATTTCGTCATTCACATCAATCTGCTTCAATTCTATGGAATGAACTTTTATCTCTGTTTGTCATAATTCCACAGCAAGATTGCTAGAACAGTTGTTTTGCTTATCTTAATGAAACTTGCTTGCAACTTATGACCTTGTGAAAAAAATTGAGTAAATGATACTTTCTCTGGAGGTCAATTCTCAATTGCATCTGACATATCAGTGGTAGCTACTGTTTCAGGATAATTTAACCTATCATCGGGTCATGATTGTCTTCTTCTCTTATATCCTTGCCCTGTCTTCTTGAAGAAGGTTGATTACATGGATGATAGACATGGAAAATTAAAGATAATCTGTGATCACTTTCAAGCTCCAACATCAAGTGAAGAATCTCTTGAAAACGGAACACCAACAACTTCTGAACCTAGAACTGATAAATACTCGAGGTATTGTTTTATGGTGGAAAAAGAAAAATGAGAATGTAAATTTCTTGGTTTTGCTTAAAGCTGGCTACTCAGTCTATTTTAATTTAGGTCTCCTCATCATCATCTGTGGACTCGAAGTAAATTAAGAGCTGTTTCTATGTTGAAATTGTTTAGTCTACGGAGCCTATCATGGGGTTCTGGTAGTGGTGGTCAAGAAAAGGTACACTTTAAGCACCTTCTGTCAGTGGTGAAAACTATACAATACCTTACCAAAACAAGTTCATAATTTGTAGGTTGAGCTAACAGCTGCAGAAATAGAGTCACTTCGGTCAGAACTTGCTGATATAGAGGAGAGGGAAGCCCACTTGAAAGCTCAGTGAGTGATATTTTAACTGTGGATTATTATAATCTTAAACAATCTCATCAATGAGAAGCAGAAATTTGCTTTAGTTTGCCTTTCATTTTCTGTTTGCACACATCCCTTTAGGACAAAGCATTGAAGATATTGACAAACATTTTGGATTTCAGATGCTAGCGTCAGATCTGTAGTCTAGTGCATGCATGAGTTACTTCTTGAGTAAAATGGATAAAAGGAAGTCTGATTTCCTTATTTCTTTTGTTCCTTACTTCACATTTAATTAGTGTTTCTTCCTGTTTGGATGAGGAAAAACTCTTTAGCTTCTTTGGAGTAGATTTGTTGTTGCTTTGAAAAAGCAGTAACATGCCACGGGTTAATCTTTACCAATCCCTTCCCTTTATGAGGGGCTATCTTTGTGAAATATGTGTGTTTTCCAATCAATGATCATGTCCCTGAAATATTATCCCTCACAGGTTGGAACATGTTGATGAGATTTTGCGGTCCGCTCGTCTCTCTGGCTATCTTCACATTCGAATGGTATTGACTGTTCCAAACCAACCTTATTACCTTATTACTTTATCTTAACGTTATTTATTTACCTTATCAATTTAGTGATAATTTGCTTCTAATTTCTATGTAGAGATGGACAGCACTACCAGGAGAACCTCCACCCATAGATGATACTGAAGTAGATGATTGGCTTCCTCGCTTTATTGTTCTCCATGGGGCATGTTTATTCTTATATTTGTCATGTACAGGTAATATAGATGGTTGGTTTCTTTCTCATACTCTCTGTCTCTTCTTCCTCAGTGCTTACTTGCATAGGATATGAACTATGAAGCACAAACCAAAAGTATAGAGGTTGATTATAGGTTTCCTTGCTTTGTTTTTTTCCAAGGGGGTTTGTATATAACTGTACTACCTCCGGTCCTTATTATAAGATCTTTTTTTACTTTTATTCTGGTCCTAAATATAAGATCCCAATCCACTTTGTCTCTCATATTTATGCATTTTTTTTTCCAAGGTAGTCCTTTTAACAATGGTAATTGTAGCTAATACACTTGATTAGCAAAAATATTTTAGGAAAAACAACACATATTTATTATAAATAACTAACTTAACTTTTTTCCTTAATCTCCTCAAATTAGTCAACTAGATCTTATAATTAGGATCAGGGGTAGTATTTATTGTATACAGTTAATATTGTCTGTTGGTTTTCTTGTCTCTTCCTTCCTTTGTTCTTCTTGTTACCAAGATCTATCTTCATTGCGTTGGAGAGAAATTCTAGAATACACTTTTACCAGATATCTTATTTTCCTTTTTTAGTGTTAAGTCTAAGTAAATCCTTTTTTAAAATCTTGATAGGTATGCATTTTTTCCAAAACTAACTTCTTGTCATATTAAGATTTGCAAACACAAAGCATTAGATCCTTTAAAAAAAAAAAAAAAAACTTTCACACTCTTCAATTCTTTAGTACTAGTTCTAAAATGTACGAAAGAAAATGCTGAGAAAAAAAAGGTAGAATAAGGCAGTTCGTATGGTAATGGTACTATCTGTTATTTCACTTGATTGATCAATAGGCTAATTTCTTGTTTTGGGGGAGCATGCAATGTCCTAAGTTTCTTTTTTATTATTTAAATTGACCTTTTGTAAACTGACTTCCTTGATATGCATTAAAGTTGCTATCATTTGCCACTTCTAATTCTTGCCTCTCTCTTGAGTGGATGAATGCCACCATGTAGTTAGCAGTTGCTTGTAGCGTTCACTTGAGCATCACTCACTTGTCAAACATGATTATACTAAACAGAAAATCCATATTTACTGGGCTGACCCTTCATATTTAAATAAATTTCATTTGTGCTTCTTCCGTCATGGAAATATTTGATCTTTTTTCTAAAAAAAAAAAAAACAGACTAACTCCTCCGAGCCACCAGACTGCGCAACTGTCTTTCATTACAAGTCTTGTTGCACAGCTAATGTTTCTTTATAAATAATCCTTGTGTTTATGGAGGACTTGTTTCCTGCTCTCTCTTAAATTATTTTTCTTTATTCTCTTACTTGGTAGAATTGGTTTTTTACTTGCAAAGTTTACAAGAATAGTCTGTTAAAGATACCTAATTTCTCGGTTATTGAGATGAGCCTTTAAAACTCTTCAAGATGACATTTAGTTGGACAGTAAACTAAATGTTCAACGTGGTTATCTCTGTGAAGTACTTCTCCGGTCTTTAATATAAGACCCATTTAACTAATTTGATTAGATTAAGGAAGTTAGGTAAGTTAGTTAATTATAAAAAATATGATATGTTTTTCCTAAAATACCATAATCATCTTTCTTAATACTTCTCTTTCTCTTTTACTATATTATGGTTGAGGAAGTATTCATAGGGGTAATTTAGAGAAAATTGATAAATATGAGAAATGGATCTTATATTTAGGACCAAAACCAACTCAACAATTGGGTCCTATATTAAGGACCGGAGGAGTATATTTATTTTCAAGCATTCGGATGATAGGTTTTTACATACAGAACATCAATGTCTGTTTATTGATAAAGAGGAAAATTGCAGATCTTAGCCCTCAGGACTCCACCCTTTTATCTGATGTTGTTGAAGTAGGGCGCTTACCGAGTTTTAAACGTGAGGACGATGAGATGCGCTATGCCTTCTATATTCTAACTCGTCAAGGACTACGGTATGAGTGCTCAAGCAGTTCTAAAATACAGGTTTGTTGAAGTACTACCTGCGGTCCTGATATTTAATATAAGTACTTATTTGACTTTTATTTTGGTCCTGAATATAAAACCCCAATCCATTTTGTCTCTGATATCCATCCATTCTTTTCTAAGATAGTTCTTGTAATAATAATAATTCTAGCCAATATACTTGATTAGCAAGGATATTTTAGGAAAAACAACACCCGTTAATTACAAATAACTAACTTATCTGATTTTCTTAATTTACTCAAATTAGTTAACTAACTCTTATATTAAAGACCGGAAGTAGTATTATTTTTGGCCATAGTTGTGTCTAAGTTGAAATAACTTGGTTCTTGGAATGACTTACTTCATTCTTCCTCTGTCAGATTGATTGTTGGTTATCCGCTTTACAAACTGACTGCAAATTGGAGCCTGATACGTCAGTCCCTAATGGTTCAGTCAACAAGTAACATAATGTACAGAATGTTTGGTGAGTTTAAGATGGGTTGATTCTGATCTACTTTGCAAAAGTACACTAATTCAATGATTTTTAGGTGTAAATAAGATGGAAGTAATTGAATAGAGATAATGAATTGTTTGTCATTTCTGTCTCATTCCAGAACTTAGTTTTAACTTTAGGTTTTAATCATAACGCCAAAACAATCTTTTGCATGTGAATTGTGATTTCAAGTGCGAAACATAAATAATTCATTAACTAAAATGTTGGGTTGATGACAGATTATTTAAATTGGAATAGTCTAAAACTCTGCATAAGGGGTTAAGTTTTTGTCCCATTAAAGAATGATAAACTGGTCTGAAAATCCAGAACAACCAGGAAGCTTGAGGGAATTGTTTCTGCCATTTCAAAACTCAAGTTGTTAAAAGGAAAGCTTCTTTTGTTACATGGTCGGCTTTATAAATAGGGAAAATGACAGCAAAATACCATGTGAATTTCAAAAAGATAAATAAGGCACTTGAATAAGCAAAATGACAAATAGGACATTGGGTACCAATTTGGAATTTAAATTTTTGGCCTAATGACCGAATTGCCCTGTCTGAAAGTGAGAAGAAAAGCAAACAGAGGAAGACATTGATGAAACACGGGAAGAAGGAAAGAAGAATGTTGGAAATGCTATTATCTTACTCCTCTGCATCACTATTCTATAGATATTGTTGATTTGGTGGGTTTTGATTGTGGAAAAGAGGATTTGTAGTAAGAGAGGGAGTGAACCTGTAGGATTACGTGAGTGAGTAGAAGTTGAAGGCAGGATTTGGATTCATTTTTGTGGCTGCTTCATGGTGAAATAGGAACAGGATTATTGCATTTAAGGGTTTATATTCAGTATTTAGTGAATGATGAAACAGAAATTAGAAAATAGTGGCAAGCAATTATATAGTGTAACTGCTGTCATATGCCTGCTGGTTTTTGGTAAATTCCATTACGTGAATGGTAGATTTTATTATACATGTAGTTAATTATGAAAGTTAATACATTGCTTTGTCTGAAAGAACTCGTACTCCCTGAGATTGTCGCCGTTGAAGAGGTTGCTGAAGTAACATTAACTATGATAAACAAGTAGGAAGCTTAAATATTATTCTTTATAAAGCATTTTCGTTGGGTCCCCACAGCTTAAAATGTTATTGCCTAGCATTCCTCTTTTTGGTTTTATCTCTGTTCTTCGCATAAAACCATTTTCAGAAAATGTGAAGCTGTCTGGTTTTCTAGTATTATTAAACCATTTGTCCTTAATTTTACAAAACACATATTGTGATTTACAACTTTCGTAGTGAAAGTGGCCACTTTGTTAATGGGTTTTGCAACCTGTTTTCAGGAGATAAACAACTTGTTTGTAAAAACTAATAAAATTCCATATTAAATTTGACAAAACATATAGTGGGATTTACAACTTCTGTAGTGAAAATGATCACTTATTCAATGGGTTTTGCAACTTGTTTTCAGGAGGTGGCCAACTTGTTTCTAAAAACTAATAAAATTTCATGCTAAATTTGACAAAATATATAGTGAGATTTACAACTTTCGTAATGAAAATGATCACTTCTTCAATGGGTTTTGCAACATGTTTTCAAGGGATTGGCAACTTGTTTCTAAAAATCAATAAAATTCCATACTGAATTTTACAAAACATATAATGAGATTTACAACTTTCGTAGTGAAAATGACCACTTTGTTAATAGGTTTTGCAACATTTTTGGGAGATGAATAACTTACTTTTCACCACCAATAAAATTTCACGTTGAATTTTACAAAACACATAATGGGATTTACAACTTTTATAGTGAAAGTAACCACTTCTTCAATGGGTTTTGTAAACCTATTTTCACCGAAAGGGGAACTTGTAAGCATAAATAAATCATTCAATGAACGTGCACCTGAAGTACATCACAATAAACATTGAACTATTAACTTTCATAATTAACTACATATATAATAAAATCTACCATTCACGTAATGAGATTTACCAAAAACCAGCAGGCATATGACAACAGTTATATTACGTAATTGCTTGCCACTATTTTCTGATTTCTGCTTCATCATTCACCAAATACTGAATATAAACCCTCAAATGCAATAATCCTGTTCTTATTTCACCATGAAGCAGCCACAAAAATGAATAATCCAAATCCCTCCATCAACTTCTACTCACTCACGTAATCCTACAGGTTCACTCCCTCTCTTACTACAAATCCTCTTTTCCACAACCAAAACCCAACAAATCAACAATATCTACGGAATAGTGATGCGGAGGAGTAAGATAATAGCATTTCCAACATTCTTCTTTCCTTCTTTCTGTGTTTCATCAACGTCTTCCTCTGTTTGCTTTCTTCTCACCTTTAGACAGGGCAATTCAGTCATTAGACCAAAAATCTAAATTTCAAATTGGTACCCAATGCTCTATTTGTCATTTTGTTTATTCAGTCAGATGCATTATTTGTCTTTTTGAAATTCACATGGTATTTTGCTGTCATTTTTCGTTATAAATAATTCATGTCTGACTTCATTTTTCATTGTTTTCCCATGGAGTTCCTCATGCCAAAAACATTGATTAAGAAACTTCCATGTAAAAAAGCTATATAAGTACGCAAGTAATTTGTATAGATTATAAAAATTAATTTAGTTAGTTATTTATTAAAAAAATGTATGGTGGTTTTTTTAAAATATATCTTTTAACTATTTGTATTCTAAACTCCTCTCTTAATTTAAAAAAAAAAACCCTTACTATATGTAATTAATAGGGAGAAGTTAGGGAAAAAAATTATAAATTTAAGAGGTAAAGTGGATTGGAATTTCACATGATTATATAAAAGTTGGATTGTGTAATGTGATTTATGTTTAGATTGTTTCTTATAAATAAGTTATTTTATGAAAATAGAGTTGCTTGGATTATTATTAAAAAATCAAATTTAATTGTCAAATGATTGAAAATTGTATGAACTTTATTAAATACTATCTTCGATTCTTAATATAAAAGTTAGTTGATTAATTTGAGTAGATTAAAAAAATTACTTAAGCTAATTATTTGTAATAAATAAGTGTTGTCTTTCTAAAAATACCCTTACTAATCATGTGTATTAACTAGAACTACCATTTAATTAAATATTTAATATGTGTAACTATTACAAAAATTGTCTTGGAAAGAAATGGATAAATATGAGAAATGAAATGAATTGGAGTCTTATATCTAGGATTAAATTAAATGTCGAACTAACTTTTATATTAAGAAGTGAAAGTAGTAATATATATAATACTAATATAAAAATAACTGGAAAGAGCGTGAATTTTAGTATGTATAATATGAAAACTTTAAGAAAAATATAAAAAAATAATAAAAAATGAAAAAAGTTATAAATTTACACAATACTCCCTCTGGTTCAAAATGTAAGTATCAAATAACTAAATTATACAACTCAAAAAATTAGTTTAAATCAGTTAAAGATAATAAATATGTAAAAAAATGTAACTTATTTTCTTAAAATATCATTATTTATGGAGAGAGAACAAGTGGAAAAATACATGAGGAAGAATAAGTGGAAAGAAGAGACGAGGGAAACATAATTAATTAGGAGTAAAAATAAAAAATATATTAAATGATAAAACAAATTTAACTTGTAGTTTCCCTTCAAAAATTTAATGCTTATATTTTAAAACATCAAAAGCCAAGTTGCCTCGCGAGCAATAAAAACACTACACTTTGGGCGTGTTTGTGATCACATTTGGGCCCCCAGACATGCATTCCCATCGGAGAAGATAACAGGTTGTTCAAAAATGATGTTTGGGCCCATGTTTGGTTAATCTGACTTCTGCCACTGAAATGGACTTCTGCGAGAAACTGAAAGAAGCTGCTTTTTTCGATGAGGAGGGTGTTAGAGGAATATTATTAGAACATTAATTGAGTGTTAAAATTTTTTACTTACCTGACCCTTGCATGAATTTTCTCTCACTTTAGTTTTAAAAAAAACGACACATGCACTCCTTCCATTTGAAACACACCCTAAAAAAATAGACATCCAAACTTACTTTTATATTTATCATTCAAATAAATTTCAGCTTTTTAAACTGATTTTTTTACAAAACTCAATTCAAATATAAATCACATTACACTATCTGACTTTTATTCAATCTGATTTCCGTAAAAGTCAGATTGGAAAAAAGTTAATTCTACCACAACTATCCAAAACACACCCTTTGATTGCTCCTTCTCATCGCGCATTTTGAACATCAAAACGCTGTTACGAATGAGCCGTGTATAGAGCCAAAATGTAGCCGTCTTATTCTTTTTCATAATTTATATAATGTAATTCTCATCGATTTTATGATTTATATTAACAATCAATAATCAATGGGCATCTAAAGTTATACTTGAATTAGATGACGAAGCTGATTTTATAACTAAAATATTGTTTCATAATTCTTTACATATCAATGTACCAACTGCTACTTATTGGACTGGATTTCTAATTGCATCAATGTATAAGAATCTATAACAAGTTACATTATTCTTAAGCTTTAAACGTTATGTCTCACTTCGAATTGTGTCCACTTTTGCTAACAATAAAACATAATTAAATAATTTTATGAGAATTTAAATGAAAATTTTATTTTTTAAAGTCATTTTATTTGGAAAAACTAAATTTTAAAGCCCAGATAAAAGTTAAAACTCAAGAGAACCCCCGTTAAATTTCCCCTCCTTTTTTCTTGAGCTTTCGAGTTTGGTCCTCTTTTTGACCCGATAAGATAATGTTTTCGTTAAAATAGAAACCAAGACAAGCAAAGCCCAATAAAAGACCAACAAAGAAAGGCCCTTGAGCTAATAGCCCAAAATGAAAACCCTGACCCTAGCACTAAAGCTAGAGGAGAAGCCGCCGTCAAGTTCACTAGAGAGAACCACCGTCGTTTTGCTGGAAACTGCAAGAATATAACGCTGTTACCAGCACTGACGCCAAAGTAAGGAGTGGGAGTTTGAAACAACCACCCCAAAGGACCCACCCCTAGTGTAGGCTAAAGAGCAACGAAGAATGGTTATTAAAATTATGAGAGAACCCATAGAAGTAGGCATATAGTCACCTGCCAAATAAACGACGCCGGAGAAAAGATAGAGCTCATCGTCGGCCAGCCACTCACAGACCCCGC